TGGATTCTGTGTCTTTTGGACATGTTCCTATTATTCCTTGAGCACTTCCTTGCTTTCTGGCAAAATAAAATGGTCTAAGATTATTTTATACTTTTCTTGTCCCAGCCCTGAAATCAGCCACTTCTCCAAAAAGCCTAGGTTTCTTTTTGTAAATAATGAGATTTAAAGGCCAAAATTGAGTGATGTCATCAAAAGGGCAACACAGGGGCGCCTGGGTGGCGCAGTCGGTTAAGCGTCCGACTTCAGCCAGGTCACGATCTCGCGGTCCGTGAGTTCGAGCCCCGCGTCGGGCTCTGGGCTGATGGCTCGGAGCCTGGAGCCTGTTTCCGATTCTGTGTCTCCCTCTCTCTCTGCCCCTCCCCCGTTCATGCTCTGTCTCTCTCTGTCCCAAAAATAAATAAACGTTGAAAAAAAAAAAAAAGGCAACACAGGATGCTCCTGACTTTTCTTCCCCTCACAAGAAGGAAAATTAACAATTATTCAAGAACAAGACACCACTGAGAATCCTAGAACATAGGAGAAATGCTAAAGTACCCCCTGCCCCCGCACCACAGAGACCAAGACAGATCACATTAGAAGGGTAGAGGAGGCAGCTACACATTGAATTGCCTCTTCCACAGACCAGTGCAGCACTATGCAGAGAGGTCTTTCCTGAGCCTCTCTGGTTCCTCCAGTGGGGAAAGAGAACCTAGGGAGACAACCAGCCACAGCTCTCCCCACCAACCCCCAGCACTGTGAGTTGCTTTGCAGGAGCCCCTTCTCTGACTTCACACCACAGGGATTATACGGGAATCTGAGGGGCCAAGACAGAATAGAATGACATATTCAAATATTGAAAGAGAGTAACTGTTAACCAAGAGTTTTATACCCAGTGAAGCTGTCCTTCAGAAACAAAAGAGGGATACGGACTTTCCCAAACAAAAGCTGAGGGAGTTTATTACCACCATACCTGCCTTACAAGAAATGCTGAAGGGAGGTGTTTGAGTAGAAGGAAAAGCATGCTAATTAACATCATAAAAACATTAAAAAAGAAGTATAAATCTCACTGGTAATGGTAAATATATTGTCATAGATTGTAAAAAATGGTAATAGTATAGTGCATAATTCATTTAAGTCTCTAGTTTGTAAGTGAAAAAAATAAAAATAAATAACAACATCAGTAAAAATAACCATTACTACAACATAATATTAAAAAAAATGTAAATTGTAATAAAAATAACCTAAAATGTGAGGGAGAGGAGAAGTAAAAGTGCAAAGTTGGTGAATTCTATTGAAGTTAAGTGGTATCAGTTTAAAATAGGGTGTTACCAGTTTACATTATTTTATATAAGCCTCATGATAACCACAAAGGAGAATCCTATAGTAACTGCATGCATACAAAACCACAAATAACAAGTCAAAGTACACCAATACCAAAGACATCAAAACACACAAAAAAGGTGGTGGCAGGACAAGAAACAAGGATCAGTGGATCTACAAAACAACCAGAAAATAACTACTAAAATGGCAATAGTAAGTCCTTATCTATCAATAGTAACTTTAAACATAAACTAATTAAATTCTCCAATCAAAAGACAAAGAGTGGCTGAAAGAATTTTAAAAAAATCCAATAATATGCTGACTGTAAGAAACTCAAATCAGCCTTAAAGATCAAGACAGACTGAGAGTGAACAGATGGAAAAAGAAATTTCAAGCAATGGTAACAACAACAACAACAACAACAACAATAACAACATCAGGGTAGCTATGTCAGACAAAATAGACTTTAAACTAAAAAGGTAAAAAGAGACAAGGTGATTATATAATGAAAAAAAGGGTCAATATATCAAAAAGACATTACATTTTCCAGGATAGGCCATACATTAGGCCATAAAACAAGTCTTTGCAAAGTCAAGAAGATTGAAATCATACCAGGTATCTTCTCTGACTACAATGGCATGAAACTAGAAATCAACAACCAGAAGAAAACTAGAAATGCACGAACACATGGAAATTAAACAACATTCTAATGAAAACCAATGGATCCAAGATGTAATTAAAGGGGGAAATTAAAAAAAAAAAAAAAGATTGAGGCAAATGAAAATGGAAACAACATATCAGAATTTGAGCCGCAGCAAAAGCAGTTCTAAGAAGAAAGTTTATAGCAGTAAACACACTGAGAAACAAAAAAGATCTCAAATAAACAGCCTAACTCTACTCCTCAATGAACTAGAAAAAGAACAGCAAAGTGAACCCAAAGTTAGCAGAAGAAAGGAAATGATAAAGATTAGAGCAGACATAAATGAAATGTAGAACAGAAAACAATTAAAAAAGATTAAACAAACTATTAAGTTGGTTATTTGAGACAATAAACAAAATTGACAAGCTTTTAGCTAGACCAACTAAGGAAAAAAAACCCCAAATCACCAAAATTACAAATGAAAAAGGAGACATTACAAATGATAACATAGAAATTCAAAAGATCATAAGAGGCTACTATGAACAACTATATGCCAATAAACTGGACATCCTAGAAAGAGTGGAAAAATTATTAGAAACATACAACTTATCAAGACTGAATCAGGAAGAAATAGAAAATCTGAATAGACCAATTACTAGTAAGGAGATGGAATAGGTAATCCAAAATCCCCCAATGAAGAAAAGCCCAGGGCCATATGGCATCACTGGTGAATTTTACCAAACATCAAAGAAGGATTAACACCAATCCTTCTCAAACTCTTTCAAAAAATCAAAGAGGAGGGAACACCACCAAACTCTTTTTATGAGGCCAGTACTATTTTGATACCAAACCGGAAAAGAACACTAGTAGAAAAGAAAACTACAGGCCGATCAAAAAATATCCTGCTGAATATAAATACAAAAGTTTTCAATCAAATCCTAGCAAACTGAACTTAACATCACATACAAAGGATCATTCACCATGATCAAGTGGGATTTACCCCTGGGACGCAAAGATGGTTGAACATATGCAAATCAATCAATGTGATGCATCACATTAACAGAATGAAGAAAAGAAACATATGATCATCTCAATAGACACAGAAAAAGCATTTGACAAACTGAACATTTATTCATGATAAAAATTCTTAGCAAATTAGGCATAATTAGGAACATATATTAACATAGTAAAGGCCATATATGACAAACTCACAGCTAACATACTCAGTGGTAAAAGGTTGAAAGCTTTTCCTCTAAGAACAGGAACAAGACAAGTGTGTCTACTCTTATCACTGCTATGCAATATAGTACTAGAAGTTGTAGCTAGAGCAATCAGGCAAGAAAAATAAATAAAAGGTAGCAGAATTGGAAAGGAAACAGTAAAATTGTCTCTTTGCAGATGACATTTTATATACAGAAAATCCTAAAGACTCAACCAAGAAAAAAAAGCTCTAATCAATGAATTCCATTGCAGTGTACAAAATAAAGTTTCAGAGGGGAGCCTGGGTGGCTCAGTTGGTTAACATCTGACTTCGGCTCAGGTCATGATCTCACAGTTTGTCGGTTCAAGCCCCGTGTCAGGCTCTGTGCTGACAGCTCAGAGCCTGGAGGCTGCTTTGGATTCTGTGTCTCCTTCTCTCTCTGCCCCTCCCCCACTCACTTGTGCGCTCTTTCTCTCTCTCTCTCTCTCTCTCTCTCAAAAATAAACATTAAAAAACTAAAAAAAAATAAAATTTCAGAATACAAAATTAACATACAAAAATCAGTAGCATTTCTATACACTAACAACACATTTTCTTAAAAAGAAATAAATTGATCCCGTTACAGTAGTATCAAAAACAATAAAATACTTAGAAGTAAACTAAGGAGGTAAAAAAATATCTACTCTGAAAACCATAAGACACTGATGCAAAAAAAAAAAATCCAAATAAATAGAAAGACATCCTGTGTTGATATTGTTAAAATGTCAATACTACCAGATTCTATAGTTTCAGTACAATCCCTATCAAGATTCTAGTAGTGTTTATACAGAAGTAGAAAACACACTCCTAAAATTTATATGGAAGCACAGAAGACCCTGAATAGCCAAAGAAATCCAAAGAACCAAGCGGGAGGCATCACACATCCTGACCTCAAGCTACCGTATAAAGCTATAGTCCTCAAAACAGTATGGTACTGGCATAAAAACCGACAAAGAGACCAATAGAACAGAACCGAGAGCCCAGAAATCAACCCAAGCATATATAATCAACTAGCATTTGACAAGGAAGCCAAGAATACTCAATGGAGAAAAGACAGTCTCTTCAACAAATGGTGCTAATAATTGGACATTCATTCTTCCTTCTTTGAATTACCTTTCTTTACGTTCTCTATTCATTTGTCTTTTTTTGATCACCTTATATTCACATTCATACGTGTGAGGAAAGATAAAGAAACAATAACAAAGAAGAAGGGAACATTCTTTCCTTGGCTGATTTATGCATACAAGAAATTGGTGCCCAGTACACATCATCAGACATGCTGCAGCATCTGGGGATACAGCAGTGGACAAAAGTGACAAAAGTCCCCACCCTCAAGGACCTTACATTCCAGTGGAGATGACTGACAATAACCAAGATAACCAAGACAGGTGAGTTTCTTTACTATGTTGGTTTCTCCTTAGGTTTACACCAACCCTGAACCTTAGCAGTTCAATGGGAACAGAAACCACTGTCATGTGATACAGACTGTCCCTAAGCCAAGACTTCCAGATACAGCCTGTGCTACTCTTCTGGATTTTTCTCTGAGGTCAACTGTTCTCTGGTGGGCAAACAGTCCAAGATAATCTCGACAAAGTAAAATATTAAACTAGAAGAAGTTACTTTTTCTACTTGATGAATAAATGCATACCATTTGTTCAACAGATTACATGTCTTCTCCTTTAAGAAAAATAACCATGATTTAAAATGATACGTTTCACATTACCAGTTAAGATTAACAACTTTTGTGTTTGAAACCTTTGAATCTGAGAATGTTTCATAGTTTACAGTGCAATACCCCATTAAAAATAAACAAAAAATCTGTTATGCTAATTGCATATTGATGTATTTATTTCATGTATGTATGTATGCATAATATAAATAAAAAATAGTGTTGTCTCGTGGTATGAATAAATCCAGTCAGTGAATAACATTTACACACAATGCGAAATCTTACTTATTGAGACTGAACCGTTAAAGATTCTTAAAACAATTTTTTAAAAAGAGGACACATAACATAGTTGGTGAGGAATGTCTTAGCAACAGTGTATGTCCCTACATTTGCATCAGGAAATTCATACTGACAGAGAATGTAGCTGAGCATAATTTTACATGATCACATCATCTGCCAACCTAACAAATTTATAACAGTATAATTCTCACGCGGCTAAGTAACTTCAACTTTGAGTATCAGCCAGTCTCTTGTGATCAGTACTAACATCTATACTGTGTTTTCAAATCCAGTTGTAATGGCATTTCAAACTGCCTCAGCTTCAGAAATTGCTACCCTTTCCACAACACAAACTATGCTGCAGGTTTGCTTAGAAATTCCTTGTTGAAGAATCGTCTTGCTTCAACATTACTAAGAGAAACCGAGCAACGAGACGGATTCTGTCTTCTGTATTCAATGCTTTCAACTATGGCGTTCTTTATCACCTGCAAATAGAGGTAAAGTGTGCATAATTAGTATTGCTCTAGTCCCCTGTAAGCATTTGTTTGGTCAAAACAAATATCTAATTGATCTTTTTAGTATAGTTTTCTTTTTGAAAGAGAGAGAGAAATCTCTGAGTCATGCATGTGTATAGTTAGCTCTAACATCCCACCATTTATACACTTATTAAGCTCATATCCAGATAATCTTCCCTCCCCAACAAGAGAAAGCAGTATTCTGGGAATGTTCCAGATTTTGTGCTGATAAAATTGTGAATAAAACATTTGTAACCTGGTAAATGTATCCTTATTCTGGTTTTCTATGGGAAGGTGTCAAGAGGGAAGAAACAAGTAAATCTAGAATTTATGTTCTTTGCTGTTAGTGGATAAGCAGAAATGAGGGAACACAAGGAAGTAGAAGACTTTCTTTAAACCTACAGAGAAACGAGGCATTGCTGAAGACCTGCCCTGCTTTCTCAGCTAAACAAGTACAGGGATAAAACATGGATGTCCTCTATCTAGAAAATGCCATACGTAGTGATTTTATGGATGATCACTATTTTTTATTCAGAATAATCTTCATATATACTCAAATTAATGGTGACTATAACCTCTAAGAACTTCGATTGCAATGATCATACTCTCTTCTGGTGTGAAGTTAACCTACTTAAGAACTTCTGGAAAGAAGACAAGACTTGGAATTTGGTTGAAGCAGTTGTTGCAGAGAATGGAAATGGGCTTTTGCAGAGAGGCCTGGCTCTGCTGCTGTTTTGGAACCCTGTCCAAATCAGGAAGACTCTATTCCCTAGGACTGGACTGTGGGATTTCATCTTAACCAACGAGGTAAAAGTTTGAGGGCACAGAAGAAAATCACAGGGATAATTTTACAATCCCCTTTATTCTCTACCCCAGGGACTGTTAAACAGCATTAAGGTGTTATCTGCCTGTGTTTGAGCCCTTGGCCACACGTGGCAAACTCATGTCCACAGCCAGTGTCACTGAGCAAGCCCAGGTCAATGCCTGAAAGAGAGAGATACTGAGCTGAGTAGTGCTAACATGTAACTAATATTCTGTGACTTTGTGTTGGGCCCGAAGGGCAGGCTCCTCTAATTCTCCAATGGTAACTTTAAACAACAAACAGTTGTATTCTGGAAAGAGGGATTTATCACAGAAATGGGGCACCTTTATTTGCTCTATGATTTTTAAATTATATAGAGAGAATATATATAATAAAACATAGTATCATTTATGTATATTTCAGTGTCTTATGGGCTCAACTGTTACTGAGTTTTTTTAAGTAAAGCTGGTATTTGCTGACGCCATTTTCCCCATGAGTAAGGGAAACATAATTAATTCTATGGTGACAGAAGAGGCTTCAGGCCTGTGAAGGAGACCTTGACCAAGGACCTCCAGGCTCAATTACTTCTTGGCTATGTGAGGTCAAGGGGAATTAGCTTAAATCCTTGAACCTGTTTCCTTTTCTCTTCTCTTCCTTCCTTCCTTCCTTCCTCCCTCCCTCCCTCCCTTCCTTCCTTCCTTTCTTTCTTTCAAAAATATTTATTTATTCTTGAGAGAGAGAGAGAAAGAGAGAGAAAAGGGGGAAATCAAGCAGGGGAGGGGCAGACAGAGAGAGGGAGACAGAAGATCTGAAGTGCGCTCTGTGCTGACAGCAGAGAGCCCGATGAGGGGCTCAAACTCAAGAGCCGAGAGACCACGACCTGAGCCGAAGTCAGATGCTTAACTGACTGAGCCACCCAGGCACTCCTGTTTCCTCTTCTTTAAAGTGGGAATAATAATACTAACCTTGGCTTTTGTGGGGATTGGAGATCATTTATATAAAGTGTTTTGCACAATACCTGCACGTAGGAAGCATTCCCTAACTAGCACCTATTTATTGTTGTTATTTTTAAACTGACCATGTGTGCGAGAATTTAGGAGCTTTAATTTGGATGTGAGGCTATAAAGTTTACCAGAAATAAACACACAAGGTATATCCAATTGTGGGCTTATTATATGGTAGAAGTCAGCAAACCAATTCTATCAAGTGGGTCCTACGTCTTCTTTTAGTAATCTCTCTGCCTTTCTAGATCTAATGTCAGCAAGTTTTCAGTTGGTTTCTCCTTCACCATACCAGCACAAGACACATGAACCCTCACTGCAGAGAAATACCCAAGTAAAATAAAAAACAATGATTTATTTTCCAAATACCTAAAAAGCTTTAAAATATAACAAACCACAGGGAAATTATACTAATAATGACTGCTGTCAATTCCTTTATAATGAATTCATAAACACACAAAAATGAGCAGTATCAGTATCCTGAACTAGTGGATTTACCGTAAGTGGACGTTGGAGGTGTTTCTAGAAAACAGGCCATTTTTATAAAGGAAAACGAATATTTACATTTATTAACTGAAAATCCCAAATCACATAGTTAGAATGTGCAAGTTGAACCACTAGGTGGCACATTAATACTAGGAAGGCATTGCCCAGATTTTTCAGATTGCTGCAGAAAACAGCCATTTGTTGTGATTTATAATTCTGTGATATAAACAGAAGAGGCTAGACTCAAGACTGCATCAGTTGCTAAATCCAAACTTTCTGGCATGATCCATGGTACAATCACATGTATCCAAAGAACTCTTAATGTGGATCCTTAGACACTTAACAGAAGACCATGGGGGAGGGGAAGGGGAAAAAAAAAGTTAGAGAGGAAGGGAGTAAACTGTAAGAGACTCTTAAAAAGTGAGAACAAACTGAGAATTGATGGGGGTTGGGAGGGAGGGGAAAGTGGGTGATGGGTGCTGAGGAGGGCACCTGTTGGGATGAGCACTGGGTATTGTATGGAAACCAATTTGACAAAAAATTTCATATTAAAAAAATAAAATAAAAATAAATAATAAGAAAATTAAATTAAAAAAAAAGCCCCCCCCCCCCCCAAAACAAAGAGGCAATATGCCATCTTTGAATCTTCCTATTTTTAAAATGGTATTAGGGGTAATCTTCAATAGTGTTTGCATCTAATTTCCTCTTTCATTCCCCTCTGAAATTCATTGAGATTCCAAATTCTTCCCTTTCATGTTATACTACAACAGCCCTCATCTCTCAAACCTCTCCATCCCCCTGATCATCCCTAAGTATGACTGACCTATGTCATCCTTCACTTGTGTCATTCAGTACCCTTCTAATGTTGATCCAGACTCTAAATCTATGGCAATAAAGGCCAAGAATAAGAAAAGGAAACATGTTAAATGTGATCTTCTCCCCTAGAGGCATGAGATTAGAAGCAATCCACAAGCAAATACTGAATTCCCACAACAGAAAATGAAAAATGATCCCCAAGAGGAAAGTTACTGTATATTTTGAAAGAGAAATAAAAATTACAAACATAGAAGACTATGAGAAGATATTCTGGTCTAAATTACTATGAATTTGCCAGCAAATGCCTGCCTTTCCAAAATAAACCGAGTGTCATAGAAACAGGCACCCTATTAGTCTTGTCATTTTTGATCCCAGCATTTAGAACACAGAAGGAGAACCATAATTATTTGTCAAAGTAATGAATGCATGGAAGGTTGATCAAAACAAAGTTCAACTCATGGAGATAATGAGATGAATAGAAGGACAGGAAGATTCTATAAGTGTGGTGGATGGACTGGGCATTCTCAGTAGAATTCTAGACGCTCTTGTAAAACGGGCTGAAGATAGGAGATCATGGCATGCATAGGAAACATCTGGGAATTGGCCTGGCAGGAAAGGAGACTGTGTTTGGGAAACAGGAAAGAAGGCTTCTTGAGAAAAAGATGCTTCAAAAGTGAGGAAAGAGTGAGAAGAAAAACCCTGTGACCCCCATCTTGACTCCTCACATGATTGTGTGGCTTCCAGCAATCTGCCTACGTTATCCTTGACTCAGTTTCTTCACATATAAATAAAGATACCTACCTCATAGGCTAATTTTAAGTGTTAACTATTCTAGGGGAGAATATCTAGCTTATCTTAAACACTCAAAACTGTTTTTTTGTTCTTTTTATTTTGTACACTGTCATATCCTTAGTTACGAAAACAGTGCCTGGCACAGTAGATACCCAACAAATCTGTGTTGAGTTAATGAATAAATAAGATGGAAAGAGATTATAGGCAGCATTAAAGGTAGATGATTTGGGGCCTAGCATATTAGGCCATCATATATAATAAGCTTCTAAATTATTTTTTTAACCTCTTTGTGTTTTTTAAAAATATTTTAATTTAATTTTTTTTAAGTAGGCTCCACCAACGTGGGGCTCGAACTCACAACCCCGAGATCAAGAGAGTCCCATGCTCTACTGACTGAGCCAGTCAGGGTCTCCTAAATTATTTTGGAAAAGATAAAAACTTTAACTTGTACCTAAGTGCTCTTATGATGACGATGAAGAATTAAGTACCAGTACTTCTGGATACATGCTTTTCCTCATTTTAATTAACATCTAGTATTTTCCGCTTTAAAGAACTGTTTGCGAAAGAATTTTAAAAGCTCATTATTATGCATCATTGGAACATGTTGAATAAGTTGACACATAACCTTAGAATATACCTACCAAAGTAATCAACTGAATGAGTGAGGCTGTATAACAGTGCATTTCCCTGTGGCAGTTAAATCAACAAGGTCCTGGGAAGGAGAGGCCATATTCCCTCCAGATCAAATTGGGGGTTTATGAGTCCAGCACGCTCCATGCCCAGGCATATAAGGTGTAGAGTTTCTGTGTGGTCAGAAATTCTGCCTCCAACCAACAGACCTGTGTCCTGCCATTTGCTCTCCTCTCCTCCTATGACATCAAACTCTTTAATCAGCCAGTAACTCAATGACATTTTAAAAATCATTCACAAAAATTTTATCGCATATTTATTTTAGGTGCCTGGCATCATGATCAATGTCTCTGGAGGACACAAGGTAAATAAGGCAAGTTATAGTTTTCAAAGGGTTTAAATTTATAAGTAAAAGTAGAAGACAATATGAACACTGATAATAATTATTATCATTATCATATTAATTGCTTCAATTTATAGTGTCTCTTATATGCCAAGCCCTTAAATTACATTATTTTACTTAATAATAATTTAATTAATAATATTTTACTGTAAGATATGTATCATTGTTTCTCTTTACAAGTGAGGGAGGCAAAATTTGGAAAAGTTAACCAACGTGTCCAAGATCACCCAGCCAAGAGGCAGCAAGCAAGGATTTCAACACCCAATTTGGTCTGACTCCAAAGGCCCTTCATTTCCATACCACATGTTTTGGTATAAGTCATTCTATGGTAGGTTTCTTAAAACAAACAAACAAACAAACAAACAAACAAACAAACAAACAAAAAAACCCAGCACCCACCCCCACCCCCACCCAATGAAATACCGCCATTGTAAAAGCACCGAGGCAATGTTCAGTGAGAAAGAATTTGGGAGGACTGAGTAAGTGCAGAAACCTGATGCTAATGAGAAACCCAGGCTGTTGTCACGATGTGAGCAGAAACAGAGCAAGAATTCTCTAAAGATGAACTAGAATTTAGCTTTACCAAAGAAGGCCAGCTAGGATCTCTGGGAAAATAACCCAACAGAAGCATACAGCTGTCAGAGACAGGGTGGCCTTTTCAGAGTAAAAAGTTAAGCCAGAATGTTAATCGAAGATGAAAATTTGCCCCAAGCCAACAGTGGTCATGGCCAGAAACTTGGAAACCATCTTCTATGGAGTTGGCAGTCAGGGGTCTGCATTAAAAGAATTTCTGTTCCTAGGGTCCACAACTGGCAAGCAACTGACAGTCCATGGGAAGTAAATATGTGCTGTGTTGCTGAAGTATGAATTAGTAAGCTACGCTATTCAGGTGGTGTGGGAATGAATGATTTAGCTAATGATTGAGCCTAATGAACTCTCCAGCATCCTGCCCTGGCAGTTTTGTTGCTCTGTTTTATCATCCCTTATCAAGAAGCTTTGATTCTGATAAAATTTGTTTCCTTGGTTACAAGTGAGGGGTTGGGGGAATAGTCAAGAAAGAGATAAAATGTCAGTGAATACTGGAATTCCTACCCGGGTATGAAATGTACCCATGTGTACGTACACATACACACACACACACACACACACACACACACACACACACACACAGAGGAATCACTTGAACACAAGTCTCAATAGTCATAAAATTTAAGAGGAAGTTCACATTCACTCATGACCTCCCATTCCCCCCTGCCAATTTAGTGTCTAGGCTACTATTACCTGTACAGACTTGTCTATGTTATTAATTCTGGGCATTTGCGAAGGTCTTGGGGGGTATCTAGCATGGTATAGGATATAGATACACGTAGGTAAGATTCCCATTTATTGAGCGGCTTCTGTTTGCAGGTTATCGTACATACATCACCCGATGATTCACTATAGCTATTATGATAGGTGCTGTTACATCTGTTTTAGAGATGAGGAAACTGAGACCCCAAAAGTAGCTTATTCAAAGTCACACAAGTGGCCCCTTTGAAATCTAAATAAGATATAAAGCCCATGGTCTTACTTCTACATTCTATGCCAGAAACATTCTTAGAAGCAATTTAAACCTGTTTTATTAATTAATGTTTGATGAGCTTTATTTCAGGAAAGTTATTTTGGAATTCAGTTCATTTTTGCTTAGGCTTTTACTTGTTCATCTACGTGTCAAACAAACTACTTTTGAGAATATATAAATAGAACTGTATCATTCTTTATAGCAAATAGCTTAGCAGACTTTATATAAACCAGAAGCGAAAGCAATGAGAGAAATGTAGTTGTTTAAATTATATATCTATATCTATCCACTCACACATTCAGACTATATAGAGGTATGTAAATATGCAGATGTAAATATGCATATGTATGTGTGGGTATTGTTTTATTTTTCCAAGTCTAACAGGGTATTTACATATTCTTATATTCTATATTTTTTTTCCACTTGAGGACAAATGGTCAAGTTTAATGCATTTAATCCCAAGGAATACATAGGTTTGAGTTTGCTGGTTTCATACCAGATATAGGATTACTATGATATTACCCCTTAGTTCTCTTCTGACAGCATGGGGTTTTATAAAACACAACTCTATTTTGAGAATGTCTGTTCACCCCCTATAAGTTAAAAATTAAAATACTGATTTTCTCTTAATATTCTTTAAATTTTTACAATCACCACAGAAACAATGTAGCCTATGGATTTCAGATGTCCACTGATTGTAAGATAAAAGAAAAAAGAAAAAGATAAATATATTTAGAAAATGATATATGCTATAAACTTCACTAAGCATGTTTGATGTGAATTATCACATATTATTCATAAGTAAAGGCTGACAAGAAACCATTTTAGAGTTTTAGGAACTGAAGCTTATTAGGGAAAAATTTCATGTTTATAAAAATGAAAGATACTGATTAATAAACATATTATGGCATAACTGTTATAACTGTACACAATTGATCACCACTAGTCTCAGGCCAACTAAACCCACAAGTGAACCAGACGTGCCAGAATTCTCTTAGTGCAAATGGAACACTCATCCACATACTGTGCTTTCTTTGGCATCATTCGTGCAGTATCCAAAAAGACTGGTAAGTCAGATAGGATACCTTTCCCTCTCCATTTAATACCTTTATTTTTCTTTTATTCTTTTTTTTTAATGTGCAAAATCCAATTAGGCTACTGAACTTGGGCTTTCACAACTGATAGTAATTTATTAGACACTATGGTTTGGAACTACAAACCAACATGATTTCAGTTACACAACCACGTTCCTAAATGGTGAATTAGAGATTACAGAATGTCACACAGACGCAGAATCTTAGCAGCAGATTTATTGGGGATAGGAATGACTAATACTGAAGAGGATGACTTGTTGCTGAAGTTCCTAATGCAAAGCATACTTAATATCTCATAGGTGAAAAATGAGAAGGCTGTGACTGATGGCAACATTCCCAAGATATACAAAAATAAAGACGTTTAAAAGCATGAGTGTATCTATGAAAGCTCATGATATTTTAGCAGATTAACTACACTTCTATTACATTCATTTTCCTACTCTTATATTTCCTTTTTATCACATTTCTTCCTACTTATAATTTATTTTATCATACGATGAATACATTAGATACTCTGGGAAAGAAGATGAGAGTATTAAACAATCCTTCAATCAAATAATAGCATAAAATGTGGGCTCTGCCCAAAAGCAATCTTGGAAAGATTGCTTTTCTTATTTGTGAATTTTATAGGGTTCTTCTGGAGAGTAATAAAATAATTTACAAAAAATAAAATGGTACACTTTGGGTGGCATCATTCATAAACTTTATTTTTAATTAATTAAAAAGGTATTGCTATGTTTATGTGATATAGAAGTATGTGACACCATCAATGACCACAGGAGATACTTACATCAATGTTGTTCAGGGTATTGAAGTACATGAGATCATGCAGCCTTTTGAATGCTTGATTTGGATATTGAAAGTTGAAGGTTGAAAATGGTGATTCGGGGTCATCAAAAATATCAAAATCAGCTATTTCTTTCTCTTCCTTAGTTTCTCTTGGGACACCTAAATACCCAAAGAGTCTCAATTGGTGTGATTTTGAAAACTACAAAGTATCTCTAAAACCCAAGAAATAAAACATACAAATAGCCATAAACATAACATTGGGAGCCCCCCACCGGGGTCATGTAATCTGTAGTATGCACTGTTTTGCTCTCACCCATATTCCCTGGGTCGGGATTTCTATGTGTTCTGCCTGGGCAACTTCCAATTGCCAACAGCTGCATCCCTGTGCCTAAGGACTTTCTACCCCATCCTGCAACTGGGGAAGGTTGCTTTGCTCTCTAACAGCAGGATGTAAAGTCTGGTAAATAACACTCTGCCCCAGGCAGCAGTCAACCAAAGACACTAGGAAGTAGGATATAAATACTCCAGTTCCCTTGCCTATTGCTGCATGAAAAGGAAGGATGATTCTGGAGCATAGGCTCTATTCCTTTCCCTAGAGTATTCCAACAGGATCAAGTTCTCCTCATGGTAGCTGGCTTACTAACACATCTTTGCTTGTCTACCTTCCTTTATCACTTCTCCACTCCCTTACTAAGGTTCCCTAGTCCACCCAAATAAGCCATCTGCCCTTGAATTCTTTCTCAGCATGTGCTTCTGGGGGAATCTGAACCAAGACATTATCTAACTGTGTTCATACCACAGGAATCCCCTACACAGCCTCTTCTTGAGTATTAACAGTGATAGAAGATCCTCTAGGTTTTAAGTACTCTACTGCTCAATAACTGAAAATGCCAGCCAATTCTTCCTTCTCTTGTTTTGAAGTTTGACTCCTAGTAACCAACCCCCCACCCCGACTGATCTTTTCTTTGTCTTCCTCCACTCTCTGGAAGATCACTTTCTTTTCCATCAACCCCTGTCAAATCTTCCATGACTATCTTTTGTATCTTTCCATTCACAACTGCACTTCCTGGTCCGAGGATAATATGATTTTTAGGCCTTGAGCATCCTGCTCGTCAATCTCTAGATCTCCTTTTTGTTAATCAGTATCTTCTAGGATATTGAAGAGTCTATAGACTCTGGATGTAGTAAAACAGGATGACTGTGCCTTGAACTTGATTCTCTTTTTCTACAAAATATAACATGGCAACCTGAAATTACTAGCTATGTTGTATTATATTAATCCTGTGGTCACTTAAAGTTCTCTGAGTTTTTGCATGATTTGTTCTGAAACAAGGGTTTTCTTGCATGGGTGATTTTTCAAATATTTAACAATCCGTATGACAAGGGCACCAACCGATCAGAACAAACACAAGCCCAGGTTCTGGAGTAAAGCCCCAGAGATTTTTATTGATATGTTAATATATCAGTTTCTGAATTGTGAAGAACTCAGGGGATCTTGGAGTGAGAAAGAGGGGAAGTACTTGGGGTCTCAGGATAGTAGCTATTTATTAAGAGAAGGGAAGAATTCAAAATTTTAATAGTTGGTACAGCAAGTACCATTATGAAACAACTTAACATCAGTCTTGCTCCTTTCCCAGATTTCTACTCTACAGATATAATATATTCCCAACGTACCTGGTGCCTTGTAATTTCTGAAGTTGATGTTGGCCAGAACAAAGTGGATGATAGTTGGGCAATCTTTCTCAACGTCAGGATTCTTGGGTTTAAAGACATAGCATTCCTTCAGTCCTTCTCGATCAAACACATTGGGATCAATCTTTGGAAATGGAAGCTTGTTCATTCTGGCCCACTTTTCTGCAAGTAGAAGTTCCTATGGAGGAGAGGTAAAGATGCATTCGGGAATTTTCAGTTTTCATGTATTCAGTTGGTCTGGCCATCGTTCAATATTCATTAGGTGTTGACTGTGTCCTAGCAATGTGCTCCTTGCTAAGATGAATAATGACCTTGTTCACAAGAAGCTCATTAGTGTAAAAAGATACATAGTTGCCTCCAAACAAACTCGCTATTATGTTAATTCTTGGCCTCATAGGAGGCATGTGAAAATTTACTGATGGACTGAACTGAATGAAATTATATTGACGTAATTGCTATAGGAAAAAAATATTAGGGCTCTGGTTATCTATAACCCTTCAGAGTCAAAGATCTGAAGAAGCCAAATGAGGAACACTCTATTACTGAATTCTTACCTGTATCTTCTTAACACAACCAATTAAAATTAATAAATTTCATGTATGCTAACATATCTGAATTACTCTGAATCCGCTTTTTTAGATCTTCTGTTTATAAAAAGATTTTAGCTTCTGGCCTCAGAATGCTATTAAATGTGTAGTGGCCAAGAGTGGGCCAGACAGGGAAACCAAACATTTAGTTAGTGGGTGTCGCAATTGTGTGATTGTTTCCACATATTAGCTCCCTTCCTGATAAGAGAATTATACATTCCCACCAGAATAAGAAGACACCTAGACATAGTCACAGCAGATGATCTGTAGCTGCTGACACGTAATGTGACCAAGAAATACATGTTTTTTTGTTAGCCACTGAGATTTTAGATTTGTTTCTGCATCAAGGCTGACTAAAGGGTGGGTAAGCGCACAGACACACACACACACACACACACACACACACACACACACACACACAGAGTGTTGAACTAGAAAACATAAATCAATATGGACAGATGCCATAAATTGGGCTTATTTATATTTAAAAATATTTTTCAATGTTTATTTTTGAGAGAGAGAGAGAGAGAGAGAGAGAGAGAGAGAGAGACAGAGCATGAGCAGGGGAGGGGCAGAGAGAAAGGAAGACACAGAATCCGAAGCAGGCTCCAGGCTCTGAGCTGTCAGCACAGAGCCCGACACAAGGCTTGAACTCACAAACTGTGAGATCATGACCTGAGCCAAAGTTGGACGCTCAACCAACTGAGCCACCCAGGGTCCCTGAGCCTATTTATATTTATATACAGTTTCAGGGGGAGTGGGAAAAATAAGAAGCAGACTCTCAGTGGTAAAAGCACAGACTCTAGGGCCCGATTGCCTGAGTTAAAGCACAAGCTCTGAGACTATGGGCATGTTTCTTAGTGTCTCCATACTCAATATCCTCAAATGTAAAATAAGGAAAGTAATAATAATAATACATATCTCATGATTGCCATTCGAATAAAATAATCTCTGTACAGTATTTAGAACAGTGTCTGACACTTATGATTTGCTATACAAATGTTTGATAAATAAACGCCAATAAAGAGAGGAAAGAGGTGGAAGGGGAAAAGTGAGGAAAGAAAAGAGGAAAGAGAAAGAGAGACAGGTACAGTATTAGAGAAATTCTCATAGAGGTGAGGTATTAGGGAAATGATCACTGCAATCTTAAGTTATTTTAACCACTCTGTGTCATCAATCACATCAATCGATTCGATGATAGTCATCAGTTGCAAATCAAAGCTCCATGCTAGGAGGTGGGAACATCACAGTGAATGAAACTCTTGTTGTTATGGGATTTATAGCCTGGTGGGTAAGAGATAGTGACCAAGTAATTCCTTGGGTTTAAAACTGTCGTAAACGCTACAGAGTCTTCACCATGAGATTTGCAGTGTATGTGGACTATTTCTTCAGAGCATACATTAATTCATTCAACCATTATTATCAGACACCTGTTTTGTTCTAGGCATAAGTCAAAGGCTGTCTTTGAATCCTTGAAGATTATAAATCAGTGGGAAAGAGGAATAACAGATATTATAGTGCAATATGATAGAGGCAGTGAATGTGATGGATGGCTTCATGTGTGGGCTGTGCAGCCTGAAAGGCCAACCTCAAACAGAGACACCTTGATTTGCTACCTGGGTGGTCTGAGACAAACTGCTGAGCCACCACAAGTCAACAGGGACGAAATTATTTTATGGGTTGAAGTATGTAGTGATATTCCCCTAATGGGAAGCATAAGAACCAACCAACCAACCAACCAACCAACCAACCAACCAACCAGACAGGGACCAGGTTGTTCACTATCCCTGAAATAGTAGACTCTCAAACCCATTTCACCTCTATTCCTTCTGGTTCTTATTTCTCAGCAACTTATTTTCTACCACTGTGTGTAAAGTTAATACTATTATTTTCCTCAGGATTGCTGTGATGATGAAATGAGGTAATGTATTAAAAAAAAACTCAGTAATTTATATTTAACAGTATAATTTATAGTTTAAATATTTATATTTGTATTTATATATATATATTTTTAATTGTAATTTTATTTTAAAAAATATTTATTAGTTTTTGAGAGGGAGAGAGAGAGAAAGAGAGAGGGGGAGAGCGAACAAGAGTGGGGGAGGGGCGGAGAGAGAGGGAGACAGAATCTGAAGCAGGCTCCAGGCTCTGAGCTGTCAGCACAGAGCCCAATGTGGGGCTTGAGCTCACAAACCGTGAGATCTTGACCTGAGTTGAACTCAGACATTTAACCCACTAAGCCACCCAGGCACCCCAATATTTGTGTTTATATTTAAAATAGTACCTTAAATTTACATAGAGGTATACATTGAAACTTTCAGTACTCCTGATGCTTCCAGAATGTTGTGAATTTTAAGTTGATTAACTCTCAATGCCATTTACATTTTATTTACAAGAAACAAAAATTGGGGGGAACAAAGGATATAATATATATTAAAGCAGTTATTTCATAAACTACTAGGCAAAATATGATTATATTTTACTGAAATATATATACAGATATAAATTCTGGTTTGAAATTTGATGAAACTTTTATCACTAGCCCCTTTTTACTCCCTGTTCCATTGAATTATTCAGTTTAGTTCTTGTCTGGCACTTTCACAATTATTCATTCAAGATTATTCAACACCAAAATAAAACCAAAAGTTCATACTGTGGATCATTTGCGTGAGAACGAGGCAAAAAAAGAGCTTTCTAGTGTTTACAAACATGACTCAGGATGACTAACTATGTGTGGATAGTTTCCTCTTCACAAGAGGAAAAGGAACCGAGTGAGGTAAAAGACCAAGCTATTTTTAGTTAGACATTTTATGCTGGAATCAGGAAGCGATTGAAACTTTCCCTTTCCTGATATGATCCTGCTGTGGAAAACGTTAAAATCCGATGACGATAAAGATGGTGATTACAGGATGGAAAAACTACCTCCTCCCCGATGTCTCGTTTCTCTGTCAAGACTGAGAAACAATGACACAGTCTATGAGTAGAGCAGACGAGTTAGAAAAGACTATTTTAGAAGAATGCCATGAGCAAGAACATTGCTGCTTTGCAAATTATGGCAATCTGCCTGAACTGTTTTCTACCACAAGTATCCATTTTGGTTGTTGGACACCTCATACTTCTGATTTCCATAGACTAATTCATGGCAAATTTACATACTACTAAAATGATTTTCTGTGGAGATAAAAATTTCTGAGTACCCTTCAAAGCAACACTTTGTAAGAAGTACTCATTTTTGAGTACAAAAACATTGTGAAGGATAAGAAAAATAGCCTAAATAAAATAGAAATATATACAAACTATAGTGTGAATGGCATATATGTGACATTTTGTTTATTTTTATATATGGATAAATATATATTTATATGTATTTTTAAATGTATAAATATATATTTGTATCTACTAAATTAGCTTTTCTCTAGAGGAAACGAGCATTTTCTCTGTCCAAACCTAGGATATGTACTTTCTATGATGTTTCTCAATATTTACAATCCATTTTTAGATTGGGAAGAGGTATGGAGTATAAATATAAACATAAATTGAATCTTAAAAAAAATTAATGAAGCAAGTAACATAAGATACAATAGATAGGGGTGCCCGGGTGGCTCAGTCGGTTAAGTGGCCAACTTTAGCTCAGGTCATGATCTTGCTGTTCCTGAGTTTGAACCCTGCGTCGGGCTCTGTGCTGATAGCTCAGAGCCTGGAGCCTACTTTGGATTCTGTCTCCCTCTCTCTCTGACCCTTACCCCCCCTCAAAAATTAATAAACATTAAAACAATAAAAAAAGATACAATGGATAGAATCTACAGTTTAGAATTCACTATTTTCTGGTTATGATCATCATTGCTTCCAATAAAAAGCATGCTGGGGGGCGCCTGGGTGGCGCAGTCGGTTGAGCGTCCGACTTCAACCAGGTCACGATCTCACGGTCCATGAGTTCGAGCCCCGCGTCGGGCTCTGGGCTGATGGCTCGGAGCCTGGAGCCTGTTTCCGATTCTGTGTCTCCCTCTCTCTCTGCCCCTCGCCCGTTCATGCTCTGTCTCTCTCTGTCCCAAAAATAAATAAACGTTGAAAAAAAATTAAAAAAAAAAAAAAGAAAAAAAAAAAAGCATGCTGGTATTAGGATCCAAGAGCTTTATAATGCAATGGGTGTGAAAATAATTTTGTATATTTAATAATGTAGAGTATTTACATAGCACTTTACAGTTCTCTTTAGCTCTTCACCAAGACGTTACTATAACTTCACAAAAATACGTAGAGAAATTAATGTTGGGCATATCTGCTCATCAATAGGCATCTGATTCTTAATGACAAATACAGGTGTAGTGGATTGAATGGTGGCCCTCCAAAACAGAAGTCTATGTGCTCTAACCTCCCACCCTGCCCCAGAACCTGTGAATGTAACCTTATTTGGAAGAGGGGTTTTTGCAAATGTAATTAAGCTGAGGGTCTCAAGATGAGATCATCATGGGTTATCTGGTTGGGGCATAAATCCAATGACAAATGTCTTCATAAGAGACAAAGGTCCTTATAAGAAGACACACACACATATAGGAGAGCCCATATGAAGACAGAGGCTGAGAGCCCATATGAA